TCCCAGGGAGTGTCCTTACTGTCTACACTACCTAGTCACTATCCACCCCTCAGGGTGCACTTTGAGCTCATCAACAGATAGCAAGTGGGGAACCTCAGAACACTCAACGTTCAGAGTATTATAGATACCTGGATGGTCTAAAGAAGCTTAGCTTCGCTGTCTTCACACTCTACCGCAGACATCCTGTGCCAATACACAAAACAACACAGCAAAGTTTAATCTTACTAGTGTCAAATGGCTGAGATAGAGACAGGCAACTTCTCATCCCAGTAGGAAGCCCATATGTTTCTTTTCAAATGGAAAATGGATGGAAGAGACTATTCACTTGAAAACGCTACATCAATGCAGAGATCATTGCCTGTTCTGGCAAGGAAGTGTGCAGGTGAGCCAGGGAAAAAATGCTGAGACATGCCTCAAGAAAGGTTAAAGATGGACAGTTTGTAATTACGTACAAGAAGAAGGTACAGTGTCGCCCATTGATGAAAGAGGAAAACATCAAAGACTCTGAACACAGGCATACTCTCAAAATGGCTTCAAATGAAATTCAACCTATTCAGCCAGTGCAGGCTCCATTACAAACGGACCCACAGAAAGAGTCACCACACAGCTACAGTAAGGCATGCCAGGGACAGAGTGTAAGACCACTGCCAGCAAAGGGTAACTACCCAGCACTGGACAGCCACAGGCCAAAAGCCTCTCTGTCCCTGAAAAAAGAGGGAAGAGGAATGTTGAGTGGGGCCACGAGACCAAATTTAGGGGAGAAAGATGGGAGTAGACAGGAAACTAAGTAGAAATTGTTTTCTAGAGAGATTCTGGAAGCTGGCAGGTGTGGGGGGCAGGCAGTTCTCTATGTATTTTCTTTGTGCTCATGTGAAGTGAATGACTGTTGCTTTAAATCCTATTTGCTGTCTGTCTTCAAAAAAAGAATTGAGAAGAAATGTGTATAATTATACACAGAATATTAATCTTCTTCCTGGTGATCTACAACTCTAGCATATTCATCACACTGGAAATTATTAAAACTGCGGATTCATCAATGCATGTAATCCTTTGTTAATCGTATGTATATAAATGTCTCAACAATTTTCACATCAATTATTACTCATTTTTCATTGTTATGTGATTTTTCTTAAACAGTGAGTGTAATGCTGAACTTCTATGTTTTGATTGAGCTTGTTGGAGAAGTAAAGTGCAGTGACCTGGGCTACAGATGGAAGAAGCTAGAAAATCTAACATCTGATTTTAGCTCTGGTTCCAAATCCCCTTTGTAGCTTTAGATAATTTACTCCAGTCATGCCTGTACTGGGGTCAATTTTAGAGTCACCTTCAGTCCTGAACCCACAATTTTTTAGGAATTGTGAACATGTAAACATGATCATCGGCCGTCTACTACAGTACTGCAAGCTCTGCCACACTTCAGCATATGAAGCTTGCTCTGACAATACTCATGCCTCTGACAATACTATGCCATGCCTTTCTACATTTCCTCAGAAATTCACATCAGAAGATACTTGTACACTCTCACCATGAATGTGTCCATTGTTTGCTTTTGACTCTTTCTGTACTTCCTTGCTTTCTTTACTATTTATAAATGGCAGCTTGCCTAGAAGAAAAAACAAGGCTGCTAAATGATTCACAGCACTGTCCCACAAGGATATTTGGGATAAATCTTACCTCTATGCTCATGAAATAAAAATAAATGCAAACAAATTTGGTTTACACCAAACAGCCCATAGATATACGATGCAAACAAGAAATAATGGCTCATGGGACTCAAAATATTTGAGAATAACTATCACTATAGACATACCCTTAGGGTGTATAATTGTGACAGTCTCAACACCACTCTTGTCAAACTCTTCAAAGCTGAAACTCAGTTCCAAAGGCCAGAGATACTACCAGTTAAAATTCTCACTACTTCAGTATTTCTCTCCATATGTGTTCGCAAATGCTCAGCAGCGGAACACCCGCCCCATGCACACTTTCCCTTGTTCATAGCGAGAAACTGGGTGCATCCTATCCATGCTTTTTGAGAATCCTGAAACAGTAGCTGTGCTCAGAGCATGTGAAGTGTGTATCTTGGACACTGCTTTTGTATGAAACTCAGTGTTAGATATTTACTTTATTTAAAATAAAGGCACATACTGACCTACTTTTTGTACCATACTCTGGTGATCACAGTATTTCTCCCAGGTTCAGTTTTCTCCTCAGGATGAGAGAAAAAGCAAGGTCAAAACCAAAAGCAAGGTCAAAACCACAGCTCTCAACGGCTTCATTGTTAAGCTGAAATCTCTTCTTGGGACACAAATCCTACATTGGTTGTTGGAGCTGTTAAATAGCAGTCCTAAAATTTGCCTGGTCTTGTGAGGAAATAGATCATACAATCCCCAGTTCTCTCAATCTCCTTTTTCTTCAGAAATGACTTAAGCAGTTCATGCCAGAAAAGGATGTGGAGTTCTTCAGCCCACATGGAGGGAAGTTTGTAAAGGGTTATTTATACAGCTGGAATTGTGAGAATCTGGAAATCAGTCTTTCTTTTGTGTTAGTTTAGGCAGCTTCTTGCTCACCTGCTGTAAACATTCTGAGTTAATGAACTCCTCCCATATCTTGATCTTGAGTAGTTAAAAACTTGTAATGCTCAGTAATATGGTATCCAAGATTCTTTATGAATTTAGCTATTAGGACAAAAGTTTCCATTCTGAATATGCAAATGTCTTCAGTGCCTCTGAAAATTAGATCATGTCTCTATCTAGTCAGTGCCTAATTTTACAGTTGATGTTCTGAAATGTTTGCCCAACCTCTGTATTTTCTGGTTTTTGTTTGTAAAAATGGAACATTAATACTTAATTGCTTCTCAAAACTTTGTGGGAATTAATGCTTCTAAAGCATTTCAAGAATGAAAAGGACCACACAAACTGACAACTACTGTAATTAAGTATGAATTATTTAAAATGAAAAATTTGTATTGCAAATGAAGTGCTGGAGGAATGTATTGAACAAACCACCAAAAACTTCACAAAAATTACTAATCAAAACACAAGGCTTAAACAACTTGCAGTACCACCTCTTACCAAAGTGCTGAGCATCGACTGAGCTGTAGCAATTGACCATATTTGCCTTGTTTTGATGAAAAGCAGTTTTCACATGAGGTATTTTACCTTGCACTTGGTTCAGACAGGAGGATGTATGTGGTCAGTCAGTTAGCACTGACTTAATGAGGAGCCCTCAAAAGTAGTTCCATAGCGACTGCTAGTGATTGACAGCAGTGATTAACTCTTGTCCTGTGTCCTCTTTTTGCAATAACCAGATTTTTCTCCCTTCCGATATTTCAAATGTGGGTTCTGTGGGGCAGTAACCACTGTTTTGTTATATGGGCATAGAACAGTTAGGCTTAAACTCCTGTGCGATGACCATTCAGGGCCTGTGTTAGCAAGCTATTGGCTTTTGCCCTGTGTACATAGAGAATACAGGCTGTGACATCTACAAGTGTACTAGAAGCATTTCTAATATCCACCTTTTTGAGCAGTATTGTTGTACATGTCCTACATCTAATTTTTCTCCTATTTATTTTGTATCTTAGTTTTGAACCACTTAAAAAGAAATTAATACATATTAAATAGGAAGGATAGCTCTAACTTTCTGCTAGTTTTCCTTCTGTTCCATGAACACTGTCTTTCAGTTTAAAAGATAATGCATTAAACGAAATTATTTAGCTCTTTTGTATTATTGTTCATTTTCTTGTTGGATTTTTTATAGCTCTTCTGCTATTTATAAAACAATACCTCACTTTAAGGACATTTACTATAGGCAAATTAAATACCTCAAATGAGTATTTTCTAGATTAAGTGGTTTTGGGAAAGAAAAACAAATAATTCATCTATAATATGTTATAATAATATATTGACATTTAATAACAGCATTCCACTAATAAACAGCTAACAGTATTTAATATTTCTTTTTAAAAAAGGAAAAAAAAGCAGAGGTGTTATTATTTCAAGTTTTGCAGACATTTTACAAAGTTGTTCTATTCAGAAAAAGACCTGATGGCTGGAAAATGGCCAACATAATGTCATTATTGAAGATGGACTCCAGGAACACTTCAGGAAATTACAGACCATTTAGTTTTGATGCCTTTTGGGAGGAGGGAATCTTAAAAAGCATTTTTGGACATTAAATGGGTACCATTTAGAAAAGCACAGCTTGATGAAGGATAGACAATATTGCCTCAGGAATGAAAGGTCATGCTTCACTACCTTCTGAATTTCTTTCAGGTTATACATAATCAGGGAACAAATAGATAGCATATATTTGGTTTTCATTTTCAGAAAGTATTCAGGAATACTTTAAATCAAGGACTAATATAATGTACTATGATGCTGGTAAGGGAATAAAATAAATAATTTTTCAAAGAGGAAAACTTCATTATTCTGAAACAAACGGGAGTAGAGCAACACAGATATTATTGATAGGGTTTTGTACTTTCAATTTATGTATATTTAGTGACAACAGAAATAACAATATCAGGCTATCCAAACCCATATCACTTAATTCCCAACAGAGTACTTAAGCATGTATATAAATCTAAGCAGATGCTGAAAAAGTATTGTTAATGTAAGTGGAATTACTCATGTGCTTCAATGATTTAGAGAGGTTCAGCCCCTTCTAACATAAGCTCACAGAATACAGATTTTTTTAAAAAAATAATTAAATGCAAAAATAAAATAATTTCTGCAACATATTCACCAGGAAAGTAATCTGATAATTACAGGACACAGTTTTTTAGCCTTTATCCTCTCAACACTTCCAAAATACTGAGAATTCACTTACAAGTTCCTGATCTATCCAGCCCCTCTCTACAATTTGTTGTATGTTAGCTCAGAAAATTTTGTGTGCTTTAAAATATGAACATGTGGTATCATCAAGATTTTTCAAAAACAAATGAAAATTTTGAGCATCTCTGTGCTTGAACACCAGAAAAAGAAACCTCTGAAATATGTGCCCTACAGAAAGCAGGTGAGTACTTCCACCTCTGAAAATCAATCCCATTTTAAAGAAGTCCCAAAATTAACATGAAAAAATGGGAGACACCCAAGACTGCAAGAAGTAACCCTTCTTGAAATTCTTAACTAAGACAAACTGTAGCTAAAGTATCTAAGATTAATTGTGCAACACACTTGATAGAAATATATTTTATTATGTGAAATTATGGAATTTAAATAGGGATATATAGATATCAATGAAATTCAGAGTACTATAATATCTGCTCAGCAAAGTTAAGCAAAGTTCATTATTGTGTCAATTTGCATTAAACATATCACTACCACAAGACCCAAGTACATAATATAATCCAGAATAGATTTAGTGAAAAAATTCTCCACTATTTCTTCTTCTAATCCTTTTCTGTTTCCTCTCCAATATCAGTAGCAGTTTGAGATTTCAATTTGAATGTCAAGCTTCATGTTGAAAGCTTCATGACAGCAATTCTGGAAATATTACGACAAAACGAAGAATTAGTTTGCACAGCACCATTTTGCTTTTTATTTCTTCCAAGACCTACGCAGACATTTGTTTGAGGCCTAAATGCTACAGTTAATAGATTATAAGTGTGTTAACACCACATTACCCTTCAATCTCTTTTTTTTGAGTGTCAGATAAGAGAAATCCTAATCAGGATAAACATGGGGAAGATTGATGGAATTAAAAGAATGTCAATATGTAGGAACATTTTAAACAATTACTCTTGATATAGCCTTAATCTGAGAATTCAAACATTCTCCAAATCATGAAAATAAAGCACAAGAAGAATACAAGATAGACCGCTGTCTCAAAGAAGAGATCTTAGACATCCAAAATTGTTCACTCAAGGTTCTGTATAAAGAAGGTCAGGACAAAACTTTTCAATTAATTAAAGCAAAGAACATCATCTTATTTGAATTAAAGATACAACATCATCTTATTTGAATTAAAGAAAGAGAATATCTTCTGTAAGATATTGGGGGTTTGCAGCCAGGTTTTGGTAGCAGAGGGGCTACAGGGGTGGATTTTGTGAGAAGCTGCTGGAAGCTTCCCCCATGTCCCGCAGAGCCAATTCCAGCCAGCTCCAGGACAGACCTGCTGCTGGCGAAGGCTGAGCTAATCAGGACTGATAGTAACACCTCTGTGATAACATATTTAAGAAGGGAAAAAAAAGTTATTGGGCAGATGAAAATGGCAGCCAGAGAAGAGCAGAGTGAGAACATGTGGACAACTCTGCAGACACCAAGGCTGGTGGAGATGGAGGGGCAGGAGGTGCTCCAGGTGGCAGAGCTGAGGTTCCCCTGAAGCCCATGGTGCAGACCATGGTGAGGAGCTGTTCTCCTCCAGTCCATGGAGGTCCATGGGTGTGCAAGGATCCACCTGCAGCCCATTGAGAAGACTCACACCAGAGCAGGTGGATGCCCAAAGGAGGTTGTGACCCCACGGGAAGCCCATGCTGCAGCAAGGTCCTGGCAGGGACCAGCTGACCCATGGAGAGAGGAGCCCACACTGGAGCAGGTTTTCCTGCTAGGATTTGTGGCCTTGTCAGGGGGCCACACTGGAGCAGGCTGTACCTGAAGGGACTGCACCGTGTGGAAAAGTGACTCACGTTGCAGCAGTTTGTGGAGATTTTTGTGGAGCAGTTTGTTGCCTGTGGGATGGACTCACGCTGGAGAAGTTCATGAAGGACTGTCTCCCTGGGAGGGACCCCATGGGGAGCAGGGGAAGGACTCTGAGCAGCAGCCAAAACAATCTGTGATGGACTGAGTGTAACCCCCATTCCCTGTCTCCCTGTGCTGCTGGGGGGAGGAGGTAGAACTTGGGAAGGAGGGAGGGGTGGGGGAAAGTGTTTTTAAGATTTCTTTTACTTCTCATTATACTCCTCTGATTCAGTTAGTAATAAAGTTAATTAATATGCCCACTTTGAGTCTGTTTTGCCTATGACTGTAATTGGTGAGTGATGTCTCCCGGTCCTCATCTCAACTCACAAATCCCACATTATATTTTCTCTTCTCTGTCCAGTTACAGAAGGGAGTGATAGAGTGGCTTTAGTGGGTATCTGGTGTCCAGCCAGGGTCAGCCCACTACAATCAGTTGTCCTTATCAGCTCTGCTCTTTAGCAACAGAATACAGATTTTCAATGTGGAACCACGAGCTCTGCTTATCTTGCATTCAGTCACAAGCCTGTCAGTGGTTCTACAGTCCAAATCCATAACTAGGCTACTAATTCTGTGTAACATGTCCCAGGAGACAAAATAATAGCAAGATTCCCTTGACATTCTGCTGTACCTGTATCTCTTTAATCTTTTTCCAGCCTCTAATTGTGATTTTCTTGAAAGTGAGGATTCCATTGATGTCTTTCTATTAATAATGAACGGAAAAAGATGTTGCCATCAACTGTTTTCCTTCCCTGACAACTTTTTTATCCACCATAATTCATTTGAAGTCAACACATGAGCATTAGGAACAATCATAACTACAGCTATAACCTATGTGCAATGCAGACTGTAACTCAAATAATATAATTCTGCTCCCTTACCAGACCAGTAGCATAAAGCCTGAATACCTCAGAGAATATAAAGTTTAGCCTGCCCTGATGCATATATGACAATTATAACTGCAGCCTCATGTGATCTGCATGCACATGTATATAAGAGTATTGAATAAAAGGAGAAGGTTTTTTCCATTGCTGGTGGCTCAACCTTTTTTAGAGGCAGTTTGTTTCATATCAAAGTTAAATTTAGAAATCTCATGTATATTGCACTAAAACTGTCTTTAACGTGAGGTAGTTTGTGTCTTACCTATGTCAGATGGGTGTGCCTGGCAAGCCAGAGCTGATGAGCTCAAGCACTGTAAATTCATATGCTTTCTGCACACTACATTCCGTCAGTAGAAAAGCTCAGAAAGCAAGTTAAATAATGATTTTTCCAAGTTCTATAAGGTTTTTACTAAAGAAAGATGAAGTTTCATCCATGTCTCCATTTTGGACAAATCAATGTGTAATTGATTTAAGCCACTCAGTGGTTTAAATTAAAGGTTACACAAATCTAAAATAGAGGACTCATTTTTTTTCATTGTTATGATACTAATTGAAACATCATATTCAGCACTGTGGTAGATTTTTTATCTCTGTAAATGTCATAATCAAGACTAGCATGTTTTCTCAAACATACTCTAATTCCTAAAGGAATTAGTTCCAGGAAAATCTTAGATATATGTTATGTGGGAGGTCCAGTTAGAGATTTGAAATGGTTTCCACTGGCTTTATACTATACAAACAACCTAAGAACCTGTGACTGAATAGTTGTAGCTATACCACTCCTGTTTGGGGAACAACCATTATGGTCACAATGCTCTTTCAGTGGCAAAGCTCTTTTCAACTGCAGGCTAAAGTATCCGCCCTTAGAAAGAGACTTGTAATTTGTCAGTTCTGGCTCTTTGTATGTCTTTAATAATTTCACATTTCTTTCTAGTTTTACTAAATCACTGTCATTGAATTCACAAAGAATTATCAATACTTTGGTAAATTAAATAATTTATTTATGATAGAACATACTGATCTGTCATGTATAAATCAACCACTAAGGTCTAGTAATTCAGTGACTAATGCATGGCTCACATGTATGTTTGTTCCAGTAATGAAACTGTAAAATAAGCATTCAGTAATATATCTTGCCCGGTATTATAGTTTGAAATAATAGTGATTGAAGCCCACACATGTGAAGAAGATTGACTATTACCTAAGACATAAATCAGGTGTCTTAGGTGTCTTTGATCACAAAGAAATCAGCCAAGTTTCAGTAGTTAAAAACTGGAAAATAAGGCAATTACAGCATTTTCTAGTTATACTATAAGAAAGAGTGCTCAAGCACATCACTGTATGTAGTTTAAGTATCTGTCTTCTTCCACTTTTTATTCCAAGACTGGTGCAATTTCACCTTGGAGACAGCTTTACTATAGGGTTTATGCATTAAATCAGCTTTTCCACTTTTCAAAAGCACAAATGTGTCAGGATCTGTCACCCTTTTATCTTTGTGAACAATGCTAGGCTAAACTGAATCTGATTCTTGGGCAAATGTAAAAACTGATGAGGATGCAAAGGATCCCAACCTTTGTAAACACTGGCATAATCTGCAGAGGGACAAAGAGAGTGAGAAAGAGAATGTGAGACACTGGTGAAAGAATTCACAGTGCTTAGGAGCCCCAATTATGGGCCAAGATCCCATTTGTATTGTTTAATAACAAAAGAAGGTTCTTGCCCCAAAGCACTTACAATAAATGTGTATTTGAAATTAATTTTCAAGGAATGCTAGGGTAATTGTGTGTGCACTGCGTTTAACATATAAGGCAACACACTTTTGCAAATAGCATGTATTAGTGGAATAAAGCCAGCCAGAGTCTGTGTATTGTTAAATTCCATTCAGAAGATAAAAATTATTGTATGATATTGGGCAAAGACATAATCTCTTCATTAATAAATTCCAATTTTTAAATGTGTTTCTATATTAGCTATAGAATTTATGCACCTGACAGTATCTGAATGAGAAAAAGAAAAGATTTTGCATTCTATCACTGAATGACCTTGATAACCATAATAGAAATTAGAAAATATGTTCTATATTTGTTATGGAAAATGTATTCTCCAAAGTATTACAGTAATCATTTTTTAAGATCATAGTAATTTAACAGTTCCTCAGTTCTTCAAGTACTCTGGCCTTGAATGATTGCTTGAACCTTCACATAGACATTACCTGCAAAGTCTTTTAAAATATTTTTAATATTACAAACTCTTTACTTGCCTTGATATATGTTTAAAGATAATGTAGTTTAATGAAAGGCCAGATGAAGATATTTCATGGTCTTTCATGGCACAGCCAAAGTAAAATGAAACTATGTCCACAGATACATTGTCAAATGTTTACTCCTCATTTTTATGAAAATCTTTTTATTTTCTCCTTCAACGAAAGCAAAGAAGTGAGCTCACAAAGAAGATACATCTTTCATATTGGGCAACAAGAACCATTTTTTCACTCCCAGAGGCTTGGATCTAGGAATTAAATTCTCCACCATTAGACTGCATAACTCAGTTCTTCACAGTGCCGGTAATGGATGAACTTGTCCCTGTATAATGTACAGCACTGCTGACACCCTTGGGATCTTGCCATTCCCTTATGCAAAAAACGATCTTCCTGATAGCTATACTGTTTGGTGAAATGCTCTGGGAATTTTCAGTTCTTGTTTCTCATGTGGTTTTTTTTCCTCCCACTCCCCATCCCTTTCTGTAAGCTGATCTTGTGAAGTTACTCTAGAGAACAACATTCCTCCCCAAATCTCCCCAGTTTGTTGAACCTACAGCATTGTAGTCAGTTCTAATGTTTCATGAAGACAATGAAATAATGTTGCCTAGAAAACTATCTGAGAAGCACAAGGCCTTCTCAGACATAAGGCTTTGGCTCCATTTGTGGTCCCTGAAAGTGTCAGTCACAGTAGGCACCATGCTCAGAACTTCCTCTCTCGCATTCCTATCTTCCTTTGTTCCCTGACATATTTCAAGGTCTTGGTCCTATGAGGTCCAAATCTCTTCTTTCCCAACCTGCTTCCTATGTAAGCCATCACCTGGTTTCTTTCTTCCTCAGATTTCTTTCCCCCAGGTTCCCAGTCTCCTACCTCTTGCATTTGTTTGCACATGGGGACCAGCAGCATTAGGCTGGAATAACTTGTAATCTGCATTGTCTACTGGTGTGTAACTGCCGTATCTACAGCAAAGTTCATCTATCTCCCTGTGGTACCATCACAGGATGGTGCATATATTGGATCACACCACTTCTCTCCTCAGGAGACCCAATTTGTGAAGCTCAACTTTCAGAAAGGAGGTGTTGGATGCTTTTGAGTCCTATCAAGTGGAAGACAGTTCCACAGAGATCAGAATGACACAATCCTCCGCTCCCAAACTACAAAAATCAGTTATTCGCTCCTAGTTATTATAGGACTACATGACTTCCTCGTTGGCTTTAAAGATTCATCTTCCTCTCTCTACCGGAGTCTGTCAGCAAACCCAAGTGATCTCCCACCACCTTTCTTTGAGTATAGGTGATTATTTATATATGTTTATATTTATAGGTGATATATTCATATAGGGCCTATACTTTCCCAATGTTTTACATCATTAAGCCCATCCTTTGCAACCACAGCAGCAAATGCAGGAAGTACTTCTTTTTTCTGAGCATTCACAATGAATTCAGAGCAAGACTTCCTCTGACTTCTGCCTGCCAAAGTATTGTGTTTTGAGTACATTCTAAAATTTCCCAGAGGTACTTCCAAAGGTTATGCAAGGCTGTGATTCAGAGAAATGGTGCTGAACACCTATGTGAGAAAGTGAGCTGTGCTCAGCTGCATACATTGGCTCAGCTCTTATGCAGACACCTGGCAGATACAGACCTTCAGCTGACATCTGTGCTGCTTGTACTGTGAAATCACATCTCTGTAATCCAAAAGCAAAAATGGAGGGGAAGAAGTAGCAGTAACCATGGAGAAAGGAGAGTGCAGTAAGTTTCATGTAAGCCCTAATATCAAGAAGTGTAGGACACGGAGTAGTGGATTTTGCTTGCCACCAAAACAATTTTCACAGTAAGTGACATACAAAATTATCCTAGACACATTCATTTTTTTATAATAATCGAGGAAAATTACACACACATAAAACTCTTGTCATATATAGGGCAGTAACAGTCATTACCACAGGAACTGTTAGATGCCTTCTTCCAAAGAATCCTTCGGAGACAACACAAGGGGGAGTTACTAGGTTTTTGTAATCTGCAAAGGGTAATACATTTTGAGTGACACTACTGGTAGTTACTTTTTACAACAGCACCTCTACTTGCTGATAACTGTCCCTTACCTTCACTCCTAAAATGAAAAAAAATTAGAATGTCTACCAGCAAGAGCAGGTTTTATTCTTTAATACCTAGCTCTGTATCACATGGACAGGAGCACATCCCAAGATCAGAAATTTAAGACATGGGAAAACAATATTGCAGAAGCAATGTAGTACAGTGGTGGTCTCCTCATGCCTTTTGTGCTAAAAGAGAGACAACTAAAGGATGACTAGGTTGACAGTTCTTGCAGTTAACTTAACCTTTTGTTTACCTTCCCAGCCTTTCACAGAACTCCTAAGAGCTTTCCAAGTTGAGCTGGGCTGCTTTCATATTAAAAGGTTTCAGAAAGAGGCTATGTGGAATAAATGGGGTAAATTAGTAAATTCATTTATACAATGGCAATCATGCCTTCAGCTTTTGTAATTGGGCTTTTGTTATCAGGCCTTTTCATAGGTCTTTTCCTTAGAGGTAACCTGATGTGTGAGAGCTAAAGCAGTTCTCTCATAGACAGCCCTCTGCTCCCCAGATGCCAGATTAGCCAAGAAATTATTTCTCCTTCATTTTTATCTCTGTACCTCTATTTGGTTTCTGTATCTGTTTTTGACCAGGTTTAGAGGCTAATATGGATTATATATGTTTAGTATTGTATTTAGAAACTTCTTCTTGAACAATATGTGTATGTTAAACCAGAAATGCATGTATTCTTAATGTGAATATATTACTCTAATTTACTTACATTTATTTTTTACAAGTCACTTATTGCATCTAGACTTCAGACCAAAATCAGGCTCCTCCTACCTATTAGTATATTCAGTATGTAATATGATAAGATTATACTTTATTTTGCAGTTCTGCAAAACATTAAATAATACTTCATAATCTGTGATTGCCTTTTTCTTAGAGTTGCTAGGGTAACATGCTGGAACTTGTTGTTCAGTTTTATTCAGCTGACTGGTTTTTACATTTTAAAAATAAAATATTTATAACATTAAGTTGTGTTTATTATTTATATAACCTCTGCAATTCTCCTTAGACTTCTGTGTAAAAGACAAAGGCAGCCTGGTGTTTAGGACTACCTTTTCTCAGGGGAGACGATGTGAGGGAAAGGTATATGGCACTAGACAGTAGTTCATTAAGTAGCTTGTTGCTCTTGCAGGAGACTCAGATGTTGGATGATTTCATCATCTGTCAAATTTCCTTTGTTTTGCTAGTACATGCTTGTCTCTCCTGCATCATTCATTGCTGAAGCCCTTCTCTGTGTTTGGACCAGGTACCTCCTATCCCCTTCAGGAGAAGCAGCAAGCCCCCCAAGACCTGACCCTGCTATTCTGAACTGAAGCATCTCCTATCTTACTGCTTCTCAGGGTACATGGCAATCTTGGGAAACATCTCTGTTGCATGTTAGGCCAAGCACAACCAGCTGGGCAGGTTTTCCTGCCTCTGCTTTTCACCCTACCCATTGTGTCTGCAACTCCACTTCAATGTCATCACAATTCCTTGTATTCAAGGGCTTCTGTGCATGCTTCCCACTTAAGCATTTATTTTAATGATTCATCAATATTTTAAAACACAATCCTCTTGGAATCATAGAATTCCGTCTTTTATTTAGGAAGTCAGATGACCATCAAATGTCTATAGATTGTAGTTTCACCACATGCAGGCTATTCTGAAGATATAATCTTTAGGGAACCTCAGTTTCAAGGCTTAGGAAACACCTTTCTCATCAATCATTTCAGTAACTCAAACTTGCTGCTTCCATTGAATTAGGAAAATAATATGAACGCATGAAGTGCTTATCAAGTTTAATATTTTTATTCACCTAGTTTACTGCCTTCCCATATGGCCTTTACTTGCAGAGGACTTAAGACAGAAGTTAAAGGAAGTGCAGTTATTCTGCTGTTGTCTATTCAGCTTTCATTAAGTAAGTCGACGCATGGCTCACACTCATTCTCAAAACCAGCCCATCATCTAAAAGTATTTACATAAGACTCTTTGCATTATATACCAACCTCTGCAACACTAGTATTAACTACTGACATCTGCCAAGGCTGACTAGTAAGTGCTTTACAGTATCAATTCATCCTAAGCAAAAAGCATGTTTGAGTGCTGCAGTGCTCTTGTTAACGCCAATAAGAAGTATCAGAGCTCATATGACACCTAGCAGAAATTAGTACCCACATTCAAAGAAAAGCTTTTGTTATTTTTCAGAGTATTATGTGGACTTTATTGAGATGACTGCATCTGACACCTGCTGTAATATAAAATGCAGCTATAATTAGCCAACTGATGCTCTCCACAGTTTAGGTCGAATCCCTTCTGTGGGAATTATGCTTTAAAATATTCAGAACTCCAAGTGGCTCTCATTACATTTAATTTTTACTTAGAATTAGGTGGTCTAGAAAAAAAATTTAGGATTGTAATAGCCCCCCGCTGAATGCCACACAGCAACGTGAAAACCCATAGATTTTTTTCCAAATAAAAAATGAGAACAAGCAGACTACACTACAGCCTTCAATTGAAGTCTGGCTTTGCTTAATTGTACTTTTTGCACTCATCAGTCTCTCCTCTTCAGAGCAAGCTACAAAAATTGCCTGAATAGCCAAAGAAAAGTTTCCCACAGTCACTGGTCACAGAAAAACACCATTGTCCTTCCTCACAGTTTGATGGACAACATTTCTATAAATGGGTAGCCAGTCTGTCAATGGTACCCTTGCTGAAAAGGCAAAAGAAGAGAACAGATTCTGCCAATATCTGACAAAGCATGTTAACACATAATCAGGCATTCACTAGTCAGGCAGCTGCCCCTGGGACCTTCATAACACAGGTGCCTTTAAGCCATTTCCTATTCACAGATAAAGGAAACAAGCAGGAGATACCTGGGAAAGGAGCAGTCTATTGTGGCCTGTCAAATGTCCATCTTCTAGGCTGCCTGTATAAAGCCAGAAAGAACATAAAGGAAACTTCAGCCTGAACTGCTAAATTATAAAACAGCAAAATACTCTCCAACTCCATAACTTCAATCTTCACTTAAATAATAATTTAAAAGGTTAGTAAAGGAGAACCATGCCTTATAAGATGTACCTTGTTCCTTCTTTTTCCTGCATCAAACAGCAAAAGATCTGTCATGTCCCCAAGGCCAACAACTAGAATAAAGTCAGCAGTGGTGGTCTCCGGGCTATCACCTTCACCCACTGCAGCTTTGGTATGGTTTGTCTATGCCTAATCTGCTCTCTTCACCCAGCTGAGCTATTAAATTCATCCTTTAACTGAGGAAACTGAAATTTTTTTGATATTTAGTGTGAATAAAAGTGATTAAGCTGCAGGACAAAGACACTTTCCCTCTTTTTTTATCAAGTTTAACTTAGTGAGCCTAACAAACAAGTGTCATTTCATAGCCAGCGTTACCTAAAGGCCACTGAGTAGAGTGACTATTTTACCAGTGAACAGATCGTGTTAAGACAACAGTTAGCTATATGCAAAGGAAAACATTTCTTGTGCATAAAGATGCCTATTTCATACACTCACCATATCAAATGCCAAACACCATAGGCCCAAGCAGGAACTCAGTTTATATTTAAGTAATTTCATTTATTTTTCATGGTACTTTCAGTAGCACTGCCTGTGTGTTTAATATTAAACACATGAAAAGTCTTTACCAAATTCTATGGAAGTTCCTGATGGAAGCAACTCATGGAAGGAATATCTAGAAAATGGTTTCAGGAGATGCGTCACAATGACTGGAATTCCCCTGATGTTGTTCGGAGGCTCCTGCAGGTGTTGTGCTGTCTCTGAGAACATAAACTGCTGCAGTGCAGCACAAAATGCAGCAGAAGGCAGAATATTGCATGGTACAAACAAATAAGTGCACAAAGCTCTTCTGTACACTTCTTTCTGAAACAGTGTTGATGTCTTGACTTCTCCTTAAGCAAAAATTTCCTGAAGAGTCTAGTTATGATTTCTCACAGCTACCATTCTCTAAGTGGATCTACTCTTCCACACAGGCTATATATATGTATATATCTATATGCATGAAATTAAAACAGGAAATTTCTAAGCTCCTGACATAAAGTTATTCAAATCGAATTCATAGCCATAATGAAAATAAAATGCAGCCAAGAATTAATAAGATTAAGGTAAAATGCAGTATTATAAAATATAAATTAAAAAAAGATTTATATCTCTTCCCATTTTTTCTTGATCAGTTTTTAGAGTTTTGTCTTTTAGCACTGCCCATACCTGTTCAGCTGAGCTGGAGTTACACTCCTCAACTTTTTAAAAGGACTGTTTTTTCTCTGCTGAATCAGTCTCAGGTCATTATCAAACTTACAACCTAGGCCCAGTCTTGCAAAGGCTTTTACACACAGGCTTAGCTTTATGCACATGAATAGTCCTTTAGAATTCATTAGAATGATTTGTGCACAAATAAGCAGGTGCATGACTAGCTTCACTGAAGGATTGGGACCCAAAATGTCAAAGACTCCATATTCCCTATTAACAAATGCCTCTTCTGCATTAGAAAAATACTGACAATGTAAAGATGAGTGTAATCCTTTGTTCATTTACTATAATACAAATGAGATCATTCAAATAACTTTGTAGTTACTTTATATCCCAAAAGGGCATTATTTGTACATTACTTGTACAGATTCATAAGTTTAAGCTTAAAGGATTCAGCTACCTATCTTACTTTGCCATATGGATATATGAACTCCTTATGGCTATTTTGAGAGGCTCAACTCAACTACATAATACAGGTCCCTAATTTCAACTATCAGTCCATGAATCTCATATCTAAAGCAGATACAGATCTGGTTCCTCAAGTCAATGGGGGAGCCTACTAGGACACAGAAGGACTGATCAGACCAATAATGACAGATGTGATCTATTAGATGATAACTGTCCAGCTACGGGGTACAGAAATTTATAAGCTGAACTGTTGAAGCATGAGATAAATTTAAATTTGAGCAGTGCAACTGTTCCACAGAAAAGGGTAGGAAAACGGTAATATTTAGAAAAAGACCTGGCTCGCACCTTTGTGAAAAGCTTGTACATAGCATAGTTGAAGAACCCTTTTTAAAATATTCCAAAGCAACTATTACCATTATTTATTTTAAAATAATAGTCAAGTTATACTAATAAAGATGCAAGCTACATCTTTTAAAATCAAGTACTCAGTAATCAAGGAATCCCGAAAGTTAAATTTTCTCTGAAATAAATATGCTATATTCCTGTTTCCCTGTTAAATATAGATTTTCAAGTGTCCTGTTAAACCTGAGTTAAATATATAATATGTGAGGCCCGTGCATATTAATGCAATGGAAAGTTATTACATTTTAGACTGTCTTCAGGTGTGAGTGCTCAATTTCACATTGCGTGCGTCAAATTATTGACACTTTACAGACAGGGGAAACACTGTGAGCACGGACACCTACTCTGCAAGATACCTTCTACATTTTCATGTGATAGTCTCACAAAGAATGATAGGAAGGAGGTTTATATTCAAATCTTTCAAAGTAGCTATAGAAGTCTGGAATTTGTGAAGACAGAATAATTATAATAACAGTTTGCTGACTTCTAAGAAGAGCTGTTGAGCTGGGACTTGCAGCAGGGGTCAGTTCTCGATCCCAAATTATATAACTGAACTGAAGACTTTTGTGCAGAGAGAATCAATCTTATCTGCATATGGCACCAAGAAAGGGGGGGGCAGGGAGGTAGATAAAATTTAAATATGGTGTAAAATTACTAAACAAAAACATGAAAAATAAAGTATGGCAAAGCATGGAACAGTATTAGAAAATCTCGAGGGTAAAAGAATTCAGAAAGGAAGGGCCATGGGTCTATGTTCATGTCAGGATAAGGACACTAAACAGAATTTGGGCAACAGCAACATGGATGTTAGGAAGAAACAAATTATTGAAGTATGTATATATATATATATATATATATGATACTTATGGGTTCAGGGTTTTTTCCTTTAACATCATAGCTGTATTTCCCACAGGACATTTCATACAAATCCCATTCCAATCCTGTCTGAACAGGGCTTTCTAAATTTTGACAGAGTGAGAGAAACACCAAAATTCAGCAAAGACATTTGCTTTGAAAAAATGCAGCTCCTATTGGAGAATTAGATTTGCAATTCAGAGCGTTATCTGATGAAGTTAATAAGCACACGAGTACATTTTAAGGAAGCAGGCTGAGTTTTTTACAGCTGGCTAGTACCTAAAATTAGGCACCAGCTTAAGTATCGTGTTGAACCAGGATCCATAAATTCGGTGGGAGCAATACCTTTTCCTGGGTACCTGGGAAGCAACAGAAGTGCTCTTAATTCTGAAATTAATGCTTGGAAAAATAAATAAAAGCTTTTATTTTGGAGGGACCTGGTCATGTCCCATTTTAAACCAATGAGTAGGATACTACCAATTTTCTGTTTATAAACTGAGATAATTTAAAGCAGCATTGATAATCTGAATATTAAGGACAAATACATTTACAGCAGTTGGTGTCAAGCTGCACCACTTGCCTGGGGCTCTGGGCAGAATTCAGGGTATTGTCTTTAACTTTGAAGCTCCAAATTATTTCAGTTAAAGTTTTTTTTCTGAAGCATTGCCTTTTTACCTTTCTCTGTGCTACAGCTGATGTAACCAGAAGTACACAGCACAAGTTTTTCAATTCAGGAGAAAAATCTGCTTATACATTACACAGCCTCCTTAGCTTAGCACTTCGCTCTTGAGCACAACAAGCTTCAACCACTGATATATTCTGCAAAGCACCTGCCTTTATTTGGCTGATAGGGACAAAATTAAAGTATGAGTTCAGAAATTATGGTAATGTAATATTCAGCAGAAGAAATAGTGCTAGCAGTTATGACAGTGGTGACCAGCAAACAGAACTTGTGTCAATTTACTGAAGTTTTCTGTGATTTTAAAGCGTTTAAAGGCACCTAGAGTTGGAAAGAGGTGTATGTGCTTATCATTCTACAAACCAAATAAAAAGAAGTAATAGTCCAAAATCAAAAGAAAATCATTTCAATCCAACAACAATATTTGCTATTTAAGAACTTAATGGTTTCCTGCTTATATTTTTCACGGTGGTTTTAGCTGGAGAAGCTTTTATAGGCCTTTGATCCATTTCAGGGATCAAAGCTGCAGAAGATTTAATATTATCATGATAACTCTACCCTTGAATGTTGAAAGCAATTGCAGATTATTCCCTCCTTTGGTAGTCACATTATTAAAATAGCTGGACATTACTGCCAAGTTAGACATATTTAAATCTTCTGATTCCTTCTAAACAAGTATCTCTATCTCTGGCAATCCACTTCTTGCCAGTTTCCTATAAATTCATTCCAAATTGCCAGTATCTTTCCAGCAATGAGAGCTTCCAATGTTTTATTGTTTCACCAGCTTTAGTAAGCATGCCATATAATTTCCTCTGTCTTTATGGGAGGCCTGGATTTACTGTGGCCAGCTTTACTGCCAGAAGCAATTGCAAGTGCATTCATTTTTACCATGCACTACATGCAGTGAGCATACAATCATCTTTTGGAACCATTCTGCTCTGGCCTGTCTCTTCCATTAGACATGAACATTTAACATATTCTGTCTTAGCTGTATTTCCACGTTCTTTCCCTATTCTCATTTTCTCACATGCTCTCATTTTCCCAATCTCTTATATTACTTTGGATTACTTCTGTTCATGTTTGCATAATGCATTGCATAATTTAATCTGTGATGTTTCAGACGATACTGAATTTATCCAGTCAGCAGCCACAACCCAGATCAAGGTCTTCTGAGACAGTGAAAGTAGGAAGGAAATCTTTACCCATGGGAATTGTTACTCTTTCTCTAGGAGAAGGTATTTGCTATCAATAGGAAGAAGACTGAGATCTAGTTTTTGCTTGGTAAATAATAGGAGGACATCAACAACTCTACAGACTACTTCACGGTCTTTTGTTTACTCTTGTAATTATCACTGAATAAATAACCATGTATTGCCTCCATGGTCACTTGTTATCGTCCACATTCACTCAATCTCCCTCGTATTTCTGAGTATTTGGCAACATAACCTCCAGTATCTTTCTGACATTTATATGCTTATCTATGTATTTTTCACTTGAAATGTTTTGTACCCCAAAACAACCTCTTGTAGATGTAAAGATAATGTGCTCAAAAGCAAAGGAAAGATCTTAGGTCACTCAACTAAGAAAGCTACACATGCTCGCTGCTAAAGTAGGCACACATCTGCTTATCACTCCAGGAAAGCTGCATCCAAAAGTGGAATTTATCAGGTAGCTGAGCATTCATCACTTGAAGTTAAAATTCGATTCAAATGCCTGGACTTGCTCCATCTTTGCAGGTCATGGGGAAATCAACCAGGGCAAACTGTCTCCTCTGACACAGAAGCAACAAACAATGCCAGGTTGATACATTTATGCTCCGTATTCTGTTCTGTCTGAAATAGAGAATGAAATAAAATATTAGATATTTAGCTATGAAGGTGTGACTTTGCAAAATGTAAAACTGCTTACAAGTCTCTGACCGAACTGTGGGCAATTGAGATAAAAAGCTTAGAGAAGGGGGAAGGCTTTTTAGCACGTAGAGAGGGGTGGGGAACCTGAAACTGCTTGAAGTGATAAAACTTTACGTAACTACTCTATAATGGTAAGAATAGGAGGTAAAACTAAGTGTCTATTTAGATAAAACAAACTGCAAAGGAGTGCATGCGTATTAACCTGTAACTGTTTGAAGTGATAAAACTTTACGTAACTACTCTATAATGGTAAGAATAGGAGGTAAAACTAAGTGTCTATTTAGATAAGAAAGACTGCAAAAAGAGTGTGTGTAAAGATAACTTTGAGCTTGCTACTTTCAAACTGTATAAAAGGCTATGTGATTTCTTGGCTCGGGGGAGTGCACTGGGGAGAACACCTGCCCCTTTGCATTCCCCGGCCGTAATAAAGGTGCTTTTCAGATTGGCGGAGGTTTCTTTGAATCATGTCCAGCAAATTACTTACACCTTTATTCATTGTTGTAGTGCTGGTGGGGGAAGGACAATGTATTTTCCCTTTTTCTGAAAGCTTCATAATTTGATCCAAATGAGATGATTACATTTTGCGGAGTTGTTTCAGCTGCCTGTCCGGAGCCAAAACTGCAAGAGGTAGGGCAGGCTGAAGCAGTCACGGCTTGACCATGAGCTGGAGTTAACACTGTTGCACAGAAATGTGAAACAAAATTTCACAATTTATCTTAATTGACTTACATATTCATATTTCAAGATGTTGTCATTAGACAAAAACAGTATCTTTGAAAGAATTAAGTAAATTGCTATATATTTCCGAGCTTCCAACTCATGAACACATTCTGCTGTAAGCATTTCTGAACCCAAAGAATGGTTCTCATCAACTGAATCCAGCTAAATGCCATCTAGCTCACCTTAGGTAAAATATTCTTGCTAACTGCAGCTCTCCATGAAATATATTTGTAATCATTAACACTGAAGTCCTCTTTGGAACTTATTTTCCTCTGGAATTGAGCAGGGCCGGATCTACTCAAGTCTTCTGAAATATTGTGCCAACTGCTGTTGCTGAATGCCTTCAGTTTAGTGGGATTTATTTTCATTAAATTTAGGTAAGTCTTATCTGGATACTTTATAGGGAAATGCCTTTAAAGTAACACCTAAAATAACTGTCAAAAAATTATCTGCCTTTCTAACATTTTTATTTAAGAATGTTTTAACACTTGTATATACAACAGCACTTACCATTTTCCAATGGAATAAAAGATATTGGGGGGGGGTGTCAGAGAACAGGAATTAGTATGAAGGTTAAAGGAGTAAAATTAGGGTATCAAAAGAAGCATCAGGTAGAAAATCTTTGTCAGCACTACACTGTTTTAGGAAAGAATTAAGACCATCTTACAGGGAACGCAATTTTGCAATCCCCATAATCAGAGTACTCTGACAAACCTCGTAGCCTGATTTAAAAACAGCCCTGCTGTAACCAGAAGAGTCAGATCTTTGAAGAACAAAAAATAGCGAAGGTGTATCCAGAAAAACACAGCTGAAGCAAGGGCAGCAATCTGACGCACTTAAATAAACACTTGTTGTCCTCCTATGAGCGTGCCTGACAAGGGCCCGCGCTGACGGCTCCGGCGAGCCTGCTGCAGGGCAGGATGAAGCCCTGGGGCAAAGCGGGGTGTGCGGGACCAAGGTGCCCCGGCACGGTCGGGCACGGCGCAGGAGGACTCCAGCCCGCGCCCTGCGCCGATCCGCCGGAGAGCCCTCCCGATTGGCTGCCGCGCCTGTCCATCAGCGCTCGGGGCGGGGCCAGCGGCAGGGTCCGTCATCGCGGCGCGACGGCGACCAAGCCCGGCCCGGCGTTATGGCGGCGGCGGCGCCCGGCCCGTTCCCGCCCGGCAGCAGCGCTCCGGACACGGACCTCGCGGCCTCCGAGGTAGCGAGCAGCGCTCTGCGCTGCCTGGCCGGGCTGGCGGGGCAGGTGAGTGCGGACCGGGCGGAGGGGGAGGCTCGAGGCGGGGCTGGCGCCGCGCCCAGCTCACCTCACCTCTTTTCGGGGGCCCGAGCTCTTGCTTGTGTCCGGCCTGCGGGGCCCTCCCGGGCTCCAGGAACAGACTGCGGCGCTGTAGAGGACACAAGTCTGCTACAAACCAGGGAGCGGCCTCGCTCCTGGCGGTTGTTCGCGCCCGCCCGCAGGAGCGTGACTGCCGGGGAGGCGGTGCCGGCGGCCTCCCCCTCCTTCCGTCCCGGCCCGGGCAGCCTAGGGCGGAAGGGTACTGCTGCTGCGCTCTCACAGCCGGGGCCGTGCCTTTGCCTCGTAGTGACGGGACGTTTCGTGTCAATCAGTAGTTTGGCGGATGATCTCTCCCGTGGGATACTGCAGTCTGCCTAATTGCTGTATCTTCACATTCAGCGATTCTGAATTGAAACGCTGCTGAAAGCTTACTGTGTGTAAGGGATCAGGAGATTGAAGTTAGCCCTGCCTTGGTAATAACATACTGTGAAACAAACAGTGCATCTCAGTGGGTCAGAATTTTTAAAGGAGCTTTGCTCTATGGTACTTAAGTTGAAACACCTACTTTAGGTTGAGTAATGGCTATGAATTATTTAACAGATGTTACAGTAGTGGTGGGAGGTCCTTATCAGGAGAAGGTTTTAGTAACAACTATTACTATAAATAACTTACAGATTAATTTATTTTCCACTGTGGAAACATATATGTAGTTCTCTGAAGGCGGTAGAAGTATACTCTTGCTTCAAAAATTAGCACTCTAGAAGTTTGGGACCAGATGATGAGCTATATCTGCAGGAGCTAGTGTAACTTAATGTATGTTTATGTAACAGAACTACTCAGAAATGGACTCTTAGATACAGAGGCAGTTTGGTAGTAGCTGCTAGCTGACCTGAAATTAATTTTTAGAGTATTTCACCTCTTGTCTGTGTAGAACTCTGTATTATATTTGCTTCTCACCTCCAAATCTGCTAGTAATTGTCTCAGTTTTCAAACAAACAGCATCCCAAATTACGGGCTTGAAAATTCAGGCACTAAGTAGTAAGAGTCTTAGTTTTCCTATCTCTGAAGTGGTTAAAAACTACCCTAGCTTTTGAATAGGAGTGCAGTGCTAAACAACTTGATAATCATACACAGAGACATGAAAACTAGTTATGTAGTGAGGATGAAATGCCCCATAATTCTTCCTGGTGAAAATTCTAAATGTGACCAGTGAAGAACTAGTGAATGTCAGTTTATCTAGATGTAATACTGTTATTCATAGTATTGTACTTACAACATTAATGTTAGTGAAAAGATGGAACTCTTGTATTTATGAAAACCACAAAGAAGACTAATGAGAAAGTTTCCTAAGCTCTTAACCAGGGTACTCATCACAAGTTTAATTGATTGTTTTCAAAACTACATTAAATGCTCTTACTTTCTCTCTTTTCTTCAGTAGCTTACTTGTTCTCCAAAATTTGCTGTACAGGTAGCATGTCACTGGAGAGAGCTTAGTGATTTTTAAAAATAACTGGGTGTGCGTGGACAGTTGTGAGAGACCAGTTTAGAGTTGCTGCATCCCCTCAGTAGAGTTCCAGTAGTTACGGTCTTCGTTGGTGTTTGGAGTGTCTTATTTCCCATCTTACTGTCCATTGCACTGAACTATAAGGGGCTGGTTGCTCCATCTTAGCTGGGAAAGTCACTTTAATTGCTCAGTCAAGATCCTTTCCAGCTGTTGAGCTACACGCTTTCTGCCAGCACCTGAGTTAGATTTAACTGTGGTGTTTTACCCACTTACTGACTCTAGCAATCTGTCTTGCATTTTTAACTGAAAGTACGGATTCCCCATTTTTCTTTTATAGAGATGAGTGAGCATGTGCCAGATTCTTAGCAGTCACAGTTTGTGGTCTGTCATAGTAGTTAAGGTTGGATTTATGCTAGCAGGTTGGATTGTAAACAGGAATATTTCTGGTGCAGTAATTTTTTTACTAGGGCAATCAATTGCAGCACAGTGACTGGGAGGACTTCTGAGAATAAAAACTCATAAAACCAATATGGCTGATCCTGAAAAGTTCTTTAAAACTCTAGTGACAGTGTTTTTCATAAAACAGATTTCAAAGAGCTGGAATGATTTACAATCCTGTAAATGGCTGCAGAATAGGCTGTGGAGTTATAAACAGACAAAGGCCTTAAAGTTATCAAAACACTGACTTTATAAACCTGTTTGTCACAGTTCTAATAGGTATAAGGACGTGAAACACCGAGAACTTACTCTGTTGTACTGGCAACTTGTTTGGATGGAGGAGGGGTTTATTCTTTAATTGTATTTAAAAACAGTGTCTGTGAGTTGAAAATGTTACTGGCCTCTAAATTATTTGAAGTCAGAAGTTCTGAAGGTTTTGGACATTGAACCACCTGGACAGTAATGGCACACTATGATATGAAGGCACACATCAGCTGATTCTTTTTGAAAAAGGGGGCCTATTAGGAAATTGCAGTAGGACTTCTGTTTTGTTTCACTACGACAACTTACAGCTGCACCTTTTTTACCCTGACAGTGGTCTGTAATAGAGCATATAGGAGATGTTACTGTAGAAACTCTGTGGAGAATACATGTTTCAGATGATGACATACACACAATGGCTTAATTCCTAAAGTAAATTTTGTTTCTCCTAAATTCTAAATACATTCTTGATTTTGAAAGGTATTCAAAAATATTATTTCCTAAAACATTACTTTTTTACATCCTATGTAGCTTAAGTACTAAACAGGAATAATAATTTGTGTGAAAATTGTCTAAAATACATTATATATCTAGTCAGACTTTCTTGTTTGCTATGTAATTTGGGAACTACTGCTGGATTTAAAAAGGCTGATCTTTGACTAAAGAAGGAAGGCTCAGGCTTATAGTTCTTTACATACAAAATTGTGATAACTCATGTGGAACAACTTATCATCCACAGCTTTTCCTTCAGAATGATGGAGGCAGTCTTGTATTCATTTCCCATTGTTTCCTTGTACTCTGCAGTGGATTCAGGAAACAAATGCATATGCATTCTATGTTCTCATCCGTAATATTTGATGCTGTTAGAAGGTAGATGTCTTTAGAGCATAAGTTCAAGGTCACTTTTGTCATCTTCCTGAGGTACCTTTTTCCATTTCACCCACAACCCCTTTTTTAATGGAAGGAGGAGTGAGGGATAGACATACAAATATGCATATAAATTGGGAATTCAGTGTGGCAAGCAGAGTACCTGTAGTTCCTCTTGATTTTGAACAAGAATTTTATCTGTATTTAGAATTTGGGGATCATTTGCAGAATGTTTGTTTGAAGAAAAACCTACTTGGCTTTAAGAAATCAAAGTGCTCATTACTTCAAGATCTTGAAGAGTTTAAGTATAACAAAAATGGTGAAGGTGGGTGTGAATGAATGTGTGTAGTTAATTAGTGATCATTGACAATTGGCTTTGTATTAGAAAGCAAAAGTTTATTTTTATCTTATAGAAGATATGTAGTTCTTTTAAATAAAACTTCAGATTCACTATATGTGTTTATTGCTTTGGGAGTTAAACATTACAATTCCTTGGTAAAGAGAATAGACTGTGGCAATTGTTATTTTGATCCAAATGCATATACAGGAAAATAGTGTGGTTTGGAAATGGATTTGGTAGTGGTGTTGTGTAGTCTAGAGTTTGTTTAACCATGAGATTTTTTAAATATTTATCTTTATACACATATTTTTAATGCAAAGCTTCCTTTGGATTTGCAGCAAGTAAAAAATTCAAGAATGTGGCATAGTGCCACATCAAGACATTGGTCATGCAGGCATAGATAGTCTTACAAATCTCTGAAGAAAATACATGAACATACAGGAGATTGCCATCCTGGATACATGTTTCTTCCTACTGGTGGTGCTAGCGTCTGTTAGAAGTAGGTACAAGTGATCAACATAAATGGTATGTTTTTGTACAATAATTAATTGAATAAAGCTAAGGACCAGATTAATACAATGACTATATGATGAGTTAGTAAGGAATTTTTAATTTTTGAATATACTCTACAAATACCACGACAGCTGCTTGGACTATAATTAATATCAAACCTTTCCACTGTCCTCATATAAAAAGGGTGTGGGTCTATATGAGACGGAGCATAATTGTTGTCTTGTAGTAGTCTTGTATAGTTCTGTGATGTTGATACAGATAACATAATTTTTTATTGTGTTTGTTTTGCCCTGTTGAAGTTTAACCTCGGAGACGATATTGTGAAAGTTGTAATCGATTGGAGCAAGCTTCAGAGCACATCAGCACTTCAGCCAGCATTGCTCTTTAGTGCACTTCAGCAGCATATTTTATGTTTACAGGTAAATATTTCATGGGACGCATTTGACTTGACAAAAGTGATCAACAACTGAAAGTAGTTATATATCTAAACTGTAAAATTTTAGTAATTTTGATTTTACATTGCTCTGTTCAACAAAAGAGGAATGCAAAAGTATTAAATGCTTGGGATTCCACTATACTCCATAGGTACTCATGCTTACGGATTTTTCAGATTAGTGTTGAGAATAGCCACTGTAGGTGAGCAGGCTGAATAAATGCAGCCTCATTGATTTCTAGACTTGCATTGTAAATGTGATACATTTCCATCTATGGTGGGTTATAATTAAGCAATAAGACACGGCAGGTGTGTGTCATGCTATGATAATGATTCCATGCGTTGGGTGAGTTTTGA